CTGGGCTCCGGCGATCCTTCCGCCTCAGCCTTCCAAGTAGCTGGAACTACAGGCACGCTACCACACCCAGCTAATTTTTTATTTATTGTAGAAACGAGGTCTCACCAAGTTGCCTGGGCAGGTCTTGAACCCGTGAGCTCAGGCAATCCACTCACCTCAGCCTCTCAAAGGCGCGGGATTACAGGCTGAGCCACCGAGCCCGGCTCAATTTATTTAATTATTGTTATTTTTTGAGTCTGTCTCCCAGGCTGGAAGGCAGTGTCACGCTCCTGTCCAACACAGCCTCAACCTGCTGGGCTCAGGCAATCTTTCCGCCTCAGCCTTCCAAGAAACTGGAACTATAGGCACGCGCCACCATGCCTGGCTAATTTTTTGATTTATTGTAGACATGAGGTCTTGCCAAGTTGCCCAGGCTGATCTCGAACCTGTGGGATCCTCTCACCTTGGCCTCCCAAAGTGCTGGGATTATAGGCGTGAGCTACTGTGCCAGGCCTATTTTTTTTTTTTAGTTGGAGTCTCACTCTGTTGCCCAGGCTGGAGTGCAGTGGCATGCTCCCAGCTACCGCATCCTTGACCTGCTGAGCTCCGGTGATCCTTCTGCCTCAGCCTTCCAATTAGCGGCAACCGCAGGCACACACCAACACACCCGGCTAATATTCTGGTTTATTGTAGAGACTGAGGTCTCACTATGTGGCCCAGGCTGGTCTGGAACCCCTGGGCTCAGGCAGTCCTCTTGCCTTGGCCTCCCAAAGTGCTGGGATGACAGGCATGAGCCACCATGGCCAGCTGAGCCTCTGGGACCTGGAGATTTTGCTACCCTCCAGTTCCAAGGACCTCTAACCTCAGTGGGGTCCTAAGGTGGCCAAACGCCCCTCCTGTTTAGGCGACCCTTGGTGCAGCCGGAGCCTCCTCTGCGCTGCCAGGACTTGGGGACTCCAGGACCCGCAGCGTGGCTCCCAGGGCGCGCTGCAGAGCTCTGCCTGGCTCGGGGCCATCGCCCCCAAGGCCGGGCCGAGGACCACCACCCAGGCCGTTTGCTGAGAGCAGGGTGCCCAGCTGGGTGCCAGGAAAGCCGAGGTTGGCAAAGGACGTCCCTGGGCGCACACACCCAGCCCCCAAGCCCTTCTGGGAAGCCTGGGGGTCAGCTGGCCGGAAATGTGGGGAAGAGAAAGGAGGAAACGTGACTCGAGAGAAAGCGAACCAAGCTCAGCCCGGAGGATCCTCCCAGGCGGCAGAAAGGGGGAAACCGCTGTGGGTCCTGCCGCCCACCAGGCCGCCAGCGCGGAGAGGGCACGAAGGGGACAGGCCCGCGTCTTCTGCAGGAAGCGGCAGGACTGCCAGGGATGGGCCGACCCGTCCGTCG